CAGGGCCGGGCGGAGCCGGATTTGTCAGCTATTTCATGATAGTTTCAAAACAGAAATAGCAGGAGATACCTAAACGAGAACCACCGTATTTTCTCGCTCCTTCCATGCCTCCGCGGTTTCTAAGTAATTGACAAAGAAGGTAACAAAACTTTCCATGTGAGAATATCCTTGGATCACACGAGGAAGAGACAAGTCTAAATGCACAAATCAGCAAACTCTTGTGAAGCTGCATTTGTGCATAAGGGCCGAAATAACATAACAAACTTATTACATGGGGTTTGGATAGAAAACAATACATACCAAATGTACAAATCGGAAGACAAATTGTACAAAATAAGAAGGCCATGATCAAGTCACACCAATAACAACAAAATCCCACCATTGCCATGAAGTCTGGACGTTACACTAAGACCGAACGTGAGCTTTTAGGTCCGATCTGACGTGTTTGGCCATGTCGGACACGAAGGTGTCGAACTCGGTAGATTGGGCTCTGCTTTCAGTTTAGGCAATGCACCCTTAACTTTCATAAGACACGGGTTGCTCATTCCCGCCTCTTCGGGGGCTCATTTTCAAAATTAGAACAGCGCCCGAACAGCGAGCGGGAGATTGATAAATAACGCCCCAGAACGGGTCTTTGTGTCCACGTTCTGTTCTAGTGTAATGTCCACACAAGCAGTAATATGTAAAACAAGTGTGGTCCCCACAACCCTAAAATAACAATGCAATGAAGGTTGATGAGTGATGAGTGGTTGATCCAAAAATTTTTGATCGGCTTCCCGAAGTAACGCCGTCAAATTCAAGGCGGATAAGTGCGAGAGTATCAGCGCTGTTTTATTACTGAGAATGATAAACTGTTATCAATTGACCATCGCGGCCATCTTAACCTCATTCAGGGGAACTGCATATCTGCAGGAGGACTGCCGTGTACTCCGCCAATGCTAATTCTAGCCGGCTGGAGTAAAAGGACAAAAGGTAAGGATCGATCTAGATTACTGAAGACTTGAATCGCCCGAACATGTCTACAAAATGTTAAAGGCTACTGCACGACGAAGGCGCAGAAGCAGCATTAGTTGAGCGGGCGCGAACGCGGCGCGCGGTATTTTCAACATTGTGAACCCTGCGCTTTCTCCGCTCTATGGTTAAAAAAGCCCCATTCGCGCCATAGGTATTGCGCCTTCGTCATACAGTAGCCTATACATATAGGCTGTGACTAATCGTAGGTCGGTAAGTTTGCGGCCACTGCTCACGCAGTGCGCAAATGGAACTTCCTTTTCGCACATCTTTCAAGCGCTTCTTGCCATCAAATGTCAGCTTCCTCACCCGAAGCGATTTTGGAGATTTAGGGGTTATGGCGTCTTACGTGAACAATGTGTGCACGATGCGACCCCACCGATTGGCAAAGCCTATACTAAAAATCTACTTGTTCATGTTAGTTGCTTCAAACGGCCAACATCGAGAAAATGCGGTGTACAGTTTGTCCCAATCCCATTCAGGCTAAAGTTGGCATGACGGGAGTCCATGCCGCGAGGTTAAGCGCACGTCTGCGACAGCTTGTTTGCTCTTTGATCTCTTCGCTCTCTCCGACAGCGCAACCGCAAACCCAACCATTGGGCCACAAGCCCTTTAGCCTTCTGCGACTAAAATACTGGAGACGGTACTAGAGCAATTGATTGATATGCGAAGAAGTGATTTTGTTAGGCTGGCCCTGGTATCGTGTATAGCACGCCCATGCTTTTCACTTCATTGGTAGACGATGCGCTTGGCGCATACCAGAAGGTATGAAAAATGCCAAATCCTCATCCTTGCTTGTGATTGTATTAGGTCGTTCCGAAAGCATTTCATCCTCTTTCTAACGGTTGTAACTTCATTGCATTATATTCAACGAGCTCCTGAAAAATTACCAAAACCTGCGACTCATGCTTTTTGCCATGATCAAGGTCGGCTATTTTTCTAAATTTTTGTACCTATTCTCTGAAGAAGTTTAAGTGATAAGTAGATAGAGCAAACCGGACACGGAGTGATTTTTTTCCTTACCTTGCTTCTTAAATTTTCGGAATCAATTCTTCAACGCCATCAAACTCCATATTTGGTCAGCTCAATCCTCACAGAACAACAACCGGCAAGCAACTCGGGTGCCATTCGACGCAGCTTTTTCTCCTCTTTCTACCGGTTGTTTTTTGCTTCCGATTCTTCAAATTTTCCGGGACAAAATCATCATAATTCAGGTTTTCCAGGGTTGCCCCACGCTGTGATCAGAATTTTCGAAAGTTGCTAATCTGAAGCGGTGAATGCTCATCTGGTTAAAATTAGTGTCAAACCAAATCCATCTTTTTCAAAATCTAAGTTTCAAAATCCGAAGATTTATTGGTGTTTGATGCATTTGCGTCTGAGACGAGCCTGCTAAAATTCGGCGTTCCATCAAAAAATCTATACAAAAATTATGACGAGTTCTAGAAAGTAGAAAAAAGTTGTGCTGCTTCCTGTAGGGTTTACTCTAACCATCCATTACTTAGACTCCTTCCGAGGGTTTTTATAAAAATTTAGAAAATTTGTGAAATTTGGCCTTCTCAAAAAGCATGGGTCGCAGATTTTGAAAATTTTTCGAGAGGTTATTAGATTTTGTGCAGCGATTATACAACCGTTAGAAAGAGAATAAAATGCTGCATCAAATGCTATCAGAATCTCTTACACATCTTTGTTTCACGAGATGTGGCGTGCGTTTAAAATAAGCCACATTACTTTCAGAACGAACTAATATAATGATAATCGCGTGAACTTGATCATCAAACTGCATGATATTCACACATAATCAAGCATATCCATACATTCAGCGTACGCCTTTCTTATCCGAAAAGGATTGTAATACACGATAAGAAATGTCACGCATGAATAGAAGCAGACTGGCAACAGAGAGTATACATTTGCAATTCAGCACTCCATATGATTTTGTGACTAATCTGCCGAGGATGTAACATCAATTGATGATGTTTGATTGTTTGCTTATCCGAGATATGAATCACGTAGATCAGCGACATCTGGTAAGCTGCAGAACAGACACATTTTTAGAAGCTTAGCAGTCGATTGGCCCTTTTTTGTCCAGCAAACTACGTTCGCATGAACACTTTTGTTGAACTTTTCAAAAATGATGTGCTTTGAAACTGAGAGTGTCATTTGACTACTCATTCGTTCAATGCATTTATCACTCGTCACCCTTAGCAACGCCTTTACTTCATCCATGGTAGCAAACGATTCCGGCGAAACTAATCGAGAGGAAACAACGCTGCTTTGCGTCAAATTTACTATTGCTTTGGACTTCCCCTTCAAATAATAGTTTGTCTCTGTTTAAGCAATGCAACTCATCTGTGCCCCATCACCGATTTTTTCATATGCTTCCAGTTGCATTAAAATTTTTACGCATGGCGAAAGACTATAGCTACTTATTCAACTGTTCAACTATCAAATCGTTTTCTTGTGTACCCAGTCATTTTGTAGTCCAGTAACCCATACATCCCATCGCATATTGCCTCCTAGAAAACCAAAAGGTTTTTCAAGGGAGGTTCTTCACTGATCTCAGGGGAAGAAAAGAGGGTCGTTAAAGTCTTTTTTGCACAAGAATGGGATGATACTCGACATCCTAAACGAATCTATTATATTTAGAATTGCAATACAGGCAAGTTGATGTCTTTACAGCTCGAGGTTCATACCTAATTTTTTCGATGTGGTTTATGAAAGTCTGCGAAAGATCTGATGGTACAGCGCAAATTGCAAGAGTTTACAGCTTTGTTCAAGAGCATCTCGCAGTACAATTGATCTGAGGCGACTACTTGGAACTTTGATCTATAACAAATGTCGTGACTGCATTAATTCTGTTGACCAAGCACGGCGCGGCTAAGTTCGGGATAGCCATCAACGTTGATAAACTTTCAACGTAAGATTCAACGTATCAAGTTATTTCGCATTATCTGTTCACTGCGACTCCTTTGAAATATTTTAAGATGTATGTACGTAAAGCCCGAATGGACGAGAGCTACTTTTATCAAAGATCATCGCTAATGGTCTGCTGCAATATCACTAATCCGCTTAATGAATTATATATATATATATATCTGTGATTTCTCTAATGTCATGAGATATGCCTTTGAAACATTTTCTCGGGTTTTGAATCAAATTTGCTCTTTACTTAAAAAGGTGGATTGTGCATAATCGAATTTAGTGGGCTATTCTTGCTCGTTACTTTCAACTGTCTGTAGTGCAGCTTGACTGTGTTACTGCATGTTTTAACAGAACCTGCGTTGCTGGATGCAAATTTTATTAGTGAAGTACAAGTTTTGAGCCTAGCGTAAATGTATTCGTCTTGCAGAAGAATGTAGGCGAAAAGAGAGCAAAAACGGCTGCAACATGACGAATCGCGAGCGTGCCCCTGATGTGACTCTAATACAGTAGTTGCGTAGTTCGATGGCGGTCCTAGAAGTTTTTTGGAGGGCGGGGAAAGGGGGAGAAGTTCGAATGGAGGGGCGTCGCTCAAAAGTCTTCTGATAATTTTTTGAAGACCTTTATAGATTATACAAATCTCAATCCCTGCGGTTATGACCGGTTTCAAAATTCTCAGAGTTCTATCTCAATTATTGCCAAGTAAAAATAAATTATTTGCACAGTTTCATTACTCGCGTAGACGCATTGGAAGGGGAAGAGAAGATGGAAGAGGGAGAGGGGGGAAGAGGTGAGGGTAGGGGAAAGAGGTGCCTCACCCGTTTATCTTTATCGCCACTGCAATACTCATAAAAAATCGAACTTTTCTATAGAACATGCATAGCAATAAATGGTAACATTTCACACGTGCCCATGTATCTCCTCCGAAAAGGCGCTGTCATTTACTACATAAATATACACAGTTTTGCTATCTTGTTTGGAATTTTTTTTCCTCGCGCAAAAATCCCTGAGTGATCTGAACTCATACTTTATAATCACGACCTTGCAGATTCTACATTGAAAGGCGCAAAATGGGAGCAGAAGCAAAATTGTATCTCCATCAGCATTCTATCCCGCAGCTGTTTGAGGTAAAGTTTGTTTTATGCACAGATTCAAAACGTGCGTGTTTAAAAAAAGTGGACTCCAAGGAACGATTCACTTGTTAATAAGTATGTTGAAGGCATACATACAAATATAAAATTATTGATTTATCGAAATTAGCAATCACATATCGTCGAAAAAGGCATTTTGTTGATTCGCAATTTTGCACAGAATAGAAGCACTGCAAAGCAAAGGTATCGCGCAGCACGTTCGGAAAGAGAAAAAAACCATATTCGACTTGTTCACAAAATTTCTTCAACATTCCATGCTGGATTCCTGTATCAGTTTTCAGTAATGCTGAAGCACTCCAGATCTTTCGCGCGTGAATTCCATTTTTCACGGATTTCCATAGACTTACAGTCAACCAACAAGTCACGCTCGTTTCGCAAAGAGGAAAAGTATCTTCCAAGTTTTGCAATCCCTTATTTATTTTATCTATACATGAGCATGATCCAAGCGAATTGTTCAACCATACAAAAATTCAAAATGTGTCATACTCTCAAAGAAAAAAGAGAGCTTAACTCTTTCTAAAGAGCAGTAATCATAACCATATAACACTTTGTTATGTTATCGTCACTTCTAGGCATTTTGTGATTTAAGATATCCAAGCACTAAAGTACATTTATTTTCTATCAATAACTCATCAATAGACTCTCATATTTTTGTTACAAAGTACTTGTATGCACTTCCCTAATCAAGAGGTTTCTAGAACAATTTAATAACTTGGAAAATGTTTGCTTCGAAAGTCCTCAGTGCGGAGGAGTATAGAGAGTGATACGATTTGACACATGAGAACTTGATAAGTCAGAAGTCTAATTTGCTGTTATTTCTAGTGTTACGAACATGTATGATTTTGCAATCATGCAATACAGCTCAGGCTCAAAGTACTGTTTCAATAACATTAAATGGGTTTTTACATCAACCTACAATATCCCTGAATCAGTCTCTTTGAAATTCATTTTGCGTTTGTATTTTCTCATGGAATGCAGAGCAGTAAAGTTGTTGCTATGTATCCAAGCGACATGCTTTTTGTTACAAAGTGTAGTTCTACAGCTGTGGAGCATAATAACGCAGCGAAAGACTTGTCTAAGTTCTTTTGAAAACAGAAATCTAGAAGTGCTACGTTTGAAGGATAAGCATGAACAAAAAAGCACTCAACTAGTCACTTTATGTACAAGAGAAGAGTTTCTTTACAGTGCCTCATGACGGGACTCATCTACAATAGGCCGAAGGAGCCGCTGCAGTTTCTGGAACAGGCCATCGCTCAGCTCCGTGCCCACCCGGAAGAGCAGCTCTCATGGGATATGTTTATTGAACGAGGGGAGTTATATTTCGAAAAATCTGTTTTTGAATTATAGGCTGGTCCGAGGTTGGTTCGCATCAAATTCGAAAATTCCTTTCTTCAATTTACTAGTTTTGCTTGCAGTTGAAAGAGAAGAATCATGCACTTACTGCATTTTGTGAGCTTTTTAGTGACTACAGATTGCGGAGATAAAAGTCGAAGAAGAAAAATAGAGAGTTTCACTGGTCATAAGCAAGCCTGCTAAAAATCAGAGGTATCTCGCAAAGAAATCTGAAATAGTCATTAGCATGAGTTTTTCGATCGGTTTGATGCATCAAAGTGCTTTTGATGCATCAAAGTGTGCGCATATGAGCGTTTACTATGAGAACTTATGAATTTCGAGAAAATACAATAGTTTTGCATTGTTCTTGAAAATCATAACTTTCAATAGAAATGCTCGATCACTTTTTTTGCTTGCTCAGAAAATGGAGATCAAAAAACCTGTTTAACTTTTTCGAATTTTTTGCGGTTTCCAGACTAAAGAGCGGTTAAAGGCAACAGCAGGTCCACACAGATTCTCGACTTCCATGTTTTGATGGTTCCGAGGCTTTCTCATGTCCTTGATTTCGAGTATAAAGGAGAATCCGCGGAAACCCTGGCAATCTCCGTTCCGGACCCGCACGCCGGTTTTCCGGAGCTATGATTGGATGAGCATGCACGGATGGGTGGGCATTACTGGAGAGGGGGGGGGGGACGGAAGTGCCAACTTGGTGTTCCCGTGTCTCTTCGTTTTCCAAAGCAATTTTCTCACTTCCAAAGCGACATTTTGCGCCACGACACTTGAGCACTGGAACCGATAGGGGGCCCTACTATCGCACGCTGCCAAACGCCCAAGGCCCCAAATTAGGGGGGACGGTCTTTGATTTCACTGAAACTCGAGTATCTTTCTGCTAGATGTTTATTTCTGCAATCTGCAAATAAAAGAGCGGTTGAGCTGCCCTCGAAAAATGCATGATTTTCCATTCCTAATGAGGCTAACCACAAACAGAATTCCTAGTATAGTAGGAAGTTGCGATTTTCGAGAATGGTGCGATTGAGTTTTCGGTTTCTAAAATAAACCTAAAATAAAATATCTGTATGGGTGAATTGATGTGGAAAGAGAAAGTATGGATTGGTGACAAGAAATGGCTGGCACTGGTTTTGCTTACCGCCAAGTCTCGCAAGTGTTTGCAAGTTTATTAACTTAATATTCCGTGTCCATGAGCTTGCTTCGGTCCGCAATGATCCGATACCGTACACGTGAGTTTCAATAAACAAAATCAACAATAGGCTTTCATAAGAAATGGATGCTTTTCAATATCCTTCCTTTACCAAAAACTTTTATGCTTTACAAATTGCCGCTTTTCTAGAATTTCTATAGCAATCCTTGATACCTGTATTTGGAACAATTATTTATAGCTTCATAAAAAGAAGTTTCTAACTTTTTGAATCTAGACTCGCTGAGACTCGCGCAATTATGGCATAACTCTATTCACTCTGCGTTTTGCTAGGCTGGTTGTTTGAAGTTTCCAACGCAGCAGTTTTGTATGTTTGACATAATTCTTTCGTCATCCATTTTTTTGAGCTAAACTCCAATGTGTAATATTGGAATTTTATCGAAATCCTCCAGTAAGTAAAGTTAATTTATTCACCTTACTCTGGCAGTGGTATCGTAGCTGTTCAGAATAAGAAGACAAAGTTTACACTTAGGCAGACATGATAGTTATAGAAAAAAAAAGTATTCGCGAAGAATTCGCTGTGTTGCGAGCGCTGCTTTATGAAACAAGACCTCAAAAACCCTAAAATTGGTCGTGGCCTTTTGAAGACAGGTTAAAAGAGGAGACCATTCCTTTTACCGTGTCCAAAATTCTGAAAGTTTTGGGAAGAATCTGTATTTTGTTTATGTACTCTACTGCATTGCAGACTAGTTTTCTTTCGCATCAAAATGCTGCGATGTTACTGGACTAAAAAATAATTTTGGACGAAGTTACTTTCGAAAATTTGCAAAGTATCTGCATCATATGTGCATCAAATTAACGTTTACGAAGCTCGAGGTTTGCGCTGTTCTTCCCAAGAGTCTCCATTAGCGTTCGAAGAGTTCAAGATTTTAAGTTCAACATTCAAGTTCTTTGGACCGATTTGAATTTTTTTCTTTCAAGCGCAAAACCTTAGCTGCGTAGTACATCCGAGTTCTACGATTCTCCCATTCCACCCACACCTCTCATTAAAAAAAGAGGGAGTTGTGGTTACCATGTAAGTGCGTCGTGGCATAGTGCGTTTTTTCCATAGCAACCACTGAATTATGGTTACACTAGTTCACGCAAGTTCTAACAATTAAATTTACGACATGTAACTGGGATCCCTTTGCGATCTTAATGTAAGTATGAGGGATTTTTACCTTACAGTAGATTTCTTGCCGCTAACACTGATCAGAGTATTGCCTAAGAGGCGCTTCAAATAAGAATAAAGAAGATTCGTTAGAGACTGGACTTATTAGATGGGGGATCACTTTTTCTAGTGGAGGTTATGAAAATATTGCGTACTAGTTACCGAAAAGCTCTAGAAGTCTTTTTGAAGCATCGACACGCATCATGGCAACAACGCCTTGATTTTGGGACTGATAGAATTACAACTTTATACCATGGCTGTATGATGCGGCACGAATTCAAATCTCATTGTCTAGTGTTGAAATTTACTGCTTGAAGGTGATGGCCAGGACATGCTCACTTTTGCAAAGAGTCCAAAAGTTGTACGAAAAGTGCACCGTAGTATCATGAAGAAAGCGGAAAGAAGTGAGTGCAAACTGAGGATTTCGGCAAATCAGAAAGGTACTGAGCGCGAACGAACGAGCTGATGTGAGAAGCTGTCTCCAGTGAAGGAGAAAAACCACGCCGAATCCATGGCTGAGATAATTGCTCTGCGTTCGATAACCACTTGCCAAATGTCTCGCTCAGCTTGCCGACTGGAGTAAAGTCTTATCTATATTATTGCAAAGAAGTTCTGAACTAGTGCCTTGATCGCCTAACAGGAGAGCATATGTTTTGTTTCAGAAGGGCAGGAAAAGTTGGCGAAAGCTCTAACTGCAGGAGCGCCTAGAACAGCTGGCGGACCTCGACCTCAACAGACGAAGCAAACGACCACGTTGGTTTTGTTAAATATTTCGCGTGAACATGTGAATTTTCCCTACTCAGTGAAACCGCTCCAAAGCCAAAGAAAGCCAAGCCTAAGGAACCGAAGAAGGAACCACAGGTGCAAGTACAGGCAACATCATCACCGAAACCTGCCTCGCAAGCATCAGCCATGGGTCGCACGCAAAGATCACCGTCTGTGATGAAAGCAGCGGAAGTCGCTCAAATCCCCCATGTACCGGTGATTCTGTTCATTGGTGAGCCCTCAGCAATGGAACTCCTCCTTCTGAGCTTGTAGGAACTGAATAAACACTACCGTTTAGGAGGACCTGGTGGAGGGAAAACTCGGCACGCTGCACGGGTTGCTAATGCTCTAGCTGATCAAGGCCTTATTCATATATGCATGCCGGATATCATAAGGTGCCGTTTTTTTTTTCATTGTTTATATGCATGACAGGAGTTCGAAAGCGGTAGAGGTGAACAAGATTGTTCGTAGCCGGAAGGCGTTACAGGAATTCCGATATGACTGGTCGCTTCGTGTAGTTGCATCATTTTTGTCTGCAACTGAGCAAAACGGTAGTGGCCATGGAAAGCACCTCGCACTCTTTGTCTCAGTGGCAACATCGCCGGCTTGCGCGACTCTAATCGCGTTCGACCGCCTCGCTTGGATCATGCGCCGCGTCTGCGACTAATTCTCTGGGTATTTTCCCAGGTCTGAGCGGTACAGAAGATGTCGGGCAAGACAGGACCTCACAAAAGCATAATCGATGCCACAAATGCACAAATAGCAAGCAAGTCCAGCAGTTTTGCGAACACACCCATGATTTTTTTCGATTTTTTCTGCAACTAAATATGTTTCTTCTCTATATTTTTTTAGAATCTATTTTAGCGGCGTCTTTCTTATGCCGCACTCTGATGCCGCTAGGGTATTCAAAACGAAGGATGAAAATTGAAAAACAATTCAAAATTTGTTGGAAATTTCTCTTTTTGTGTGCATCGCGTATGATTTGATGTGGGGGAGCCAAAGACAACTTTTGACATTCTTCAAAAATGTTCCCTAAGTCAAAATGCGAAACTGCGCTAGCATAGCGCACTATCAACTCACAATCAGATGAGCGTATGCACACATGATTGTGGCATCCCCCACATTCGGCAAAACTTGGACTGCGTCCTGCCCAGTGTATGGCCCAGTCTCTCGCTGGTCTCCTGCAAGAATTCCAGCCCATTGACACAAACGTCCATAAAACGTGCTCTCACACATAAAGTGAGTGTTTTGAGCGTGGACCACGGATCTAACTATACCGTTGTTTAGACCTTTGCACGTCACACGCCTTGAAAGCAGGATTTTTCGAATCTAAGATTTTTGAGAAATAAGAATAAAAATGCAACAGAAATTATTCGCCCACCTAATAGATTGCTGCTTTTTGTCGAAACAAGTCAGCAGGCGGCCTTGCAAAAGCCCGTGGTCAATTCTCCAGAGTTCTGCGAGCAAAGCACGGAGATAGTAATCTATTTTTTGCCACGCGCGCCTACTTTGATTGCCAGGTGGAGGACCATATGTTGCCGAAAGGAGGTGGTCTCACGCGGAAATCTGCAACAAAACACGCAACCATACATACTACACATAATACATATTTGTACCAGCTGTCCGCGCGGGGTGGAGCCTATCGGCGACATGTCCCCTTACCCGCGCGAGCGAACTGGAACTGATACGCACGAGTCGGGAACCCTGTCATTGAGGCAGAGGATCTCGACGAACTAAGAAGAAAGCCTCATACTCTATCGTAGACAACGCCTTGCCCTTGCAAATTCAGAGTAGTGCGATCAAAAAGTTAGATGGGGACGACTGCGTTTGAAAACCTTGTCGATAATTTGAAATTCAGTTGAACCTCAACTTGAGAGGGTATGCTTTTTGAAACTTTGGAACAGCAATCTGCTTTAACTCTAATCACAGCGCATTAACATACGTCTTAGACATACTCGGAGACCTTTCAATTTTTCATAGGGCTTCAGCATGCCTCATTACGTATATTTTAGAACGGCTCTTGCAAAGTACAAAGATCAGTATTCAGAATGGAAGGCTGCGAATGAGCACTACTTACGAGGTATTTTGACGCAAATTCCATGATTTGTTCAAGTTTTATTGTGTAGTAGACCTGACGAATAATAGAGTGCCCTGTGGTGCTGATAACACTTGCGCAAAGAGTCGACCATCATGCGCGCCTTTAGCTTCTCCGCCGTGACCATTTTTTACGCGCAAGTGTTATTAGCATCGCAGGTGCACTCGTGAATCTACTAGAGTATGCTTAACCTTTCATTATAAATACGGAGCTTTCGGTAATCTTCTCCCGATTCTCATAAGACGTTCGTTATGGAGAAAGACCTAGAACGCTAATAGCGACACTAACGTCCTCTGCTGTTTGCATATTAACAACCTGTAGCTGCAAATTATCAGTCCTGCTCAGTGATTGGAAACAGAGTAGACTTGAAAATGACTATTTATGCTACGCAATTGATTCTCTAGCCCGATCGGCCTCCAGAACAGTGGGTTCCACCATGCCTTCGAGTAAGTTGCCAGAAAGAAATAGATTTGACCATATACCACAGGCGTCTTCGCCCTCTTAGCAGATTGCAGATTCGATTGTGTATTATGTTATCAGATTATGGAAATTTAGACGTATTACGTTAGCTTGCTGTGTAGAATGAAGCTAGTTGTGCAGATACTTGGCAATTGAGGTGAGCTGATTCCGAACCACCTTGCCCTGGCTCTGGTCAAAGCCGAAATGGGACGCCACCCCGAAGCAACAGCTTTCTTCCTGGAGGGCTTCCCCAGAGAAGCTCGACAAGTCGAAGATTTCGAAAGAGAGGTAAGCTATTTTTCAAGCGTATCACTTGAGCAGAGTTTGATTCAATACTGATTTGAAACAAATATTTTGAACGATAAATCATCTTCTCTCTGTCAGAAATGTTGCCTGTTTGTCGCATTTCATGTGACATAAATATTTAGTAATGTCATGCTTTTCGAAAGTTGCTCGAAAACAACTTGCAGGTGAAATTGGTCAATATGGCTCTGATACTTGACTATGATGAGAAAACTCTGAGAGAACATATGGAAAAGAGAGGATTAGGAATGGAAATCATCGACCAACGAATAAAGGTACATTTGTTATCTCGTCTTTAGCTCCTTACTGTACATCTTCTGAACTCCAAAATACTTGTTAAATTTGGTTCACCCGAATTCACAGTATTGCTTTCGTTATAGGAATTCAAACAAAAGACTTTGCCTTCAGCAAAATACTTTGACGATCAACACCTACTTCATTTGGTAAGTTAAAGCACTTTAGTTAGACACTTTCAAACATTTATAAAGCAGACAAAGAAGTTATTCTCCACATGGATCACCCTTCCGCTTGTCACATACGGGCTTTCTTAATCATCCGATTACCTTGTTATGATGGCTTGCAACAAAATGCGACTTCAGTTTCGGAAAACGTTTGTTTTTAGATTCCTGGAGAAAAGGATGATCACAATATATTCGAAAGAATGCGGGACCTCGTTATCAAGGCGATGAGCACTGGCGTGCCCATTCTTACCAATCAACCCTCTCCCGTCCAAACTCGAGCAGGATCAGTCATGACGGTAAGTTGTCTTCTTGTCTGGTTAATAAACCTAGCTAATAGGATTCAGTAGCTGAGAGAGGTACACTGGTGTGTTTAACAAGAGTTAAGTGAGATTCCAAGCCGAGAAAGTCGTATTTCTTGCTGACTCACCATTGGAACGTAGAACTTCAAATATGAGTTGAATCTCTGTTGTAGGCAAGATGCACATAATTACAACATTCTTTTGGAAGCCAGAAATGCAAAAGCAGCAAAACCTTATTCGCAAAAGCTGAAAGAGCTTATTTGCAAAGCTTATCATGTTTCCTCTCATCAGTTACCGTCCCAAAATTACCGTTAGTACTATGAATATTCCCTTTTCTTTCACCTATAAAACCTCTTTCAAAAGTCTCTTTTAGCCTATGCAAGACCCTAACGTGGTCATGGCTACGACAGCAACATTCTCACCTGATATGTCGCGCATGCCTGGTAAGTGAAGTTACGATTCCGTGGGTCTTATTTTTTTCTGCAAAGGGTCAGTGTATGAGCGAAAAGCTACCAGTAAGTTTAGATTCAGTGAATGGAAACAAATACGTTAAAGTAAAAGTTTTCGAAGAGGAAAGCATTTGCTGCGCAATTTTCGAGAGCGTTGAAGGATATTTTAGGCGAACACTAGCAAAACACCTTTTTGATAACACTTTCCGAACATATGATGTCACCATATGCGTAGAAAAAATATTATATATACATATCGTTTTATTTGTTGTACAACTTCGATTTTTTCCCAAATTAATGCATCTTTTAGAATATAACATTAACATTTTGGCCAAAATTTTTTTAAAACTTACCCAATATCAAAACAACAAATGCATCAAAAGTTTAACGTTAGCCAATAGTGAATTACTAATAATGCGCTTACAACGTCGCGCAAAAGGTACAAAATTCTTTTCTTCATCTATTCCACACTTTCCTACATTCTTAGAAACTCCTGGAGCGAATGTTCAACAAACTCCGGACCAAGCTGTCCAGAGCCAAACTCCGGACCAAGCTGTCCAGAGTAGAACTCCGGACCAAGCGGTCCAGAGCCAAACTCCGGACCAAGCGGTCCAGGGCCAGACTCCGGACCAAGCTGTCCAAAGCCAAACTCCCCAAGAAGCTCCATCGCAAGAGGCTGTACAAGATCAATCCGTAGTCGAGCCGAACAGTAAGTTTACATTACAAACTTGCATATGTGCAGATAGAACTCCTACGCTTTCATTTCTACCTATAACTTTTCTGTCAGCTGTGATTGTGTCTATCTTCCCATCGTGTAATAACTTCCTACACTAAACTCTTAGAAAACTGCTGTGAGGAAATCATTAGGAAATGAGGAAATCGAATTGCTGCTGAATTTTTTTCGAATATACAAAGAAGCATTCAGATGTACGAGGTGTAACTACACGCACCTCCCATGCTGTTGTTCCGGGTCAGTTTGCCAGCAACCAAAATGTGAAAAACCAGCTTTTTCGGAATCAAGGAGCTATTAATGCCTCCTCCAAAGCTTCTCCCATCTACTCCAGTCCTAGCGTGGATGCTGGAGCTGCAGCTTCTGCACATCAAGGTAGATATCTACCTCCGTATGCCAGCCGAGGTGGACCCGTAAGAACAGCTACGAGTCAAGGAGTACCTACAGCAACGCAAGGTGTACCTCAAGGTGCATATACACCCCCTTTGATTAATCAAGGGGCACCAGTGACAGTTTTGGGTCAAACGGCACCCACACCAACACAAGCTCTACCTCAACCTACATACCCTCAATTCATAACTAAAGGAGCGACTCCGCTTCAAGGTGCCCCCATACCAACACAAGCTGCACCTCAAGCGGCATACCCGAACGCCAGGCAAGGGATTCCCTTTCAGGGTGCACCCGTAACAACACAGTTTGCAACTCAAGGTGCATACTCTTATGTTAGCCAGGGTGCGATTCCTTTTCAAGCAGCTCCACTGCTGAGTCAAGCTGCGCCTCAAAGTGCGTACGCTCAAGTAAGTCATGGTGTACCTGGAAGAATGGATCTGAATCAAGATGCATCTATGCTGGTTCAATATGCTTCTCCGCCGGCACCTCCACCCACTTTAGTCAGTCAAGGCGCATTAGGAAGAACATTTCCAAGTGAAAGTGCACCCATAACCACACAGGTCACACTCCATGGGGTACAACCTCAATACAGCCAGAGTACAATTCCCATCCAAGGACCCGTACCAATGCAATTTACAGTTCAAGGTGGATACTCTCAAACCAATCAATTTGTACCACGAGGCACAGTTCCAAACCAGGATGTAACAGTGCCAGCTCAAACTGTGCTACCACGTGCAGTTCAACCCCAACCTAGTCAAAGTGCACGTCCGGCTCAAGCTGCACCACCTGCTGCCCGACTCACGCAACCCAATCAAAATGCAAGCACTTCAGTTAAAGCTGCATCTCCGGTACGCCCAGCAGCACAAGCTAGAAACTTTGCCCGACAGGAATCAGCTACATCCGAAGAAGCACCCATATCAGACCAAGTTGCCACTCAAGCTAGTCAAGGTGCACCATCCGATCAAGCTAAGCCGTCTGCACGGCGACCCACCATAGCCAGCCAAAATGCAACGCGACATGCTCGAGCTACCCATGGTACAATCCGACCCACACGAGCCAGCGAAAGTGCATCGCGACCCAATCAAGCTAAGCAAGGTGCACCGCAACCCACCCAGGCCAGACAAAGTGCAATTCAACCCACTCGAGCCAGCCATGTTATCCGACCTAAACAAATCAATCAAGATGTAACGCGAAGTCAACCCCTTGGTAAAAGCCGACCCACTCCCAGCCAAAATTCGCCGCACTCCACTCGCGGCGGTAGTGGCGCACAGGGAAGAACCACTCAGAGGGAGCTGGTCAAAGGAGGAACGTGCAGCCGCACACGAAGCAAAATTGCTCAAAGTAATGAAGGACGCGGATCAGAACGATCTAGTCGTACCTCCACTCCTACTCGTGGGATATCATCTCAGGTTGCTCGTAGTCGAAATGTTTTCAGCCATGATGCTCGCGGCCGAAAAATAGGCGATGCTTCAGAACGCGATTCAAGGCAGTCCACCCGAAGTCGGACGATTGGTGAAAGCCGGAAAGAACCAAAACCAGATACGCAAAGTAGGGCTTTGAATCGGCAGTGCAGTCGAAGCATCCTCAGAAGATCGAAAGCTCATAGCCAAGACGATTTTGAAAGAGAGTCTTCTAGTCAAGTTGCGACAAGACCTAAAAGGCAGTCCGTATCTGGTGAAGTCGGAATAGCAGCTGACATCCCCGTACACGCTGCATTTAGCCAGACCAAATCTGATTATTCGGTTGACATGCAGACTTCGACTGATTCGAGCTTACCGGGAGACAGTGCAGTTTTTTCTGCTGTTTCCGAAATGATTGCAGGTGAATATTCGGAGCAGCCCACATGGGAGCAATCTATGCCAGCTTTTACCCCACCCATGCAGGTTGCTCCCAGCCAATTAGTGGCACAGCAAGATTTCCCCTCAGCAGTCGCACCCGACCAAATTGTCTCTACGTATACGGCTTTTCCACAAACTCCGTGGGAGCAGCCCATCTTTGCTCATGGTTATCCCGTACAACCAGCAATCAGCCAGTTTGCAAAGGAGCAAAGCTCTTTTATGCCAGCCACATTTAGTCAGTTTGAAACTACAGATGCTGTTACTACGCAGGCTGCTACAGATGCTGTTACTACGCAGGCTACTACAGATGCTGTTACTACGCAGGCTACTACAGATGCTGCTACAACGCACGCTATGATCAATGTCAATTCTATGCAACCTGCAGTCAGCAAAATTGTAACGGGACAGGAAACTTCTTCAGCAAATGCACTCAGCCAAGATGCGAGCACATGTGGGGCTCCCATGCAAGAAGTATCCAGCACAACCGTGGCACTACAAGAGGTACCTCAAGCAGTTGCACCTATTCATGTTGTGTCGAAAACGAAGGAACAATCTATTGACCTTAGTCCTAAAGCTACAACTGCCCAACCTATAGCGGACCAAGCAGCTATTGCAAAGCAACAATCCGTTGACAATATTCCTTCGACCACGCAGTCTATAACGGGACAAGAAGCAATCATGCCAGACTTATCTGTTCAAGATCGGACTATGACTGAACTTACAACGCAAGTTATATCTAGTGAAGTGGTAATAACAGAGCAGCTTCCGCTTGAATCAACTGCACCCAGTCAGGCCGTGGATGCATCTGCTGTTCCTATACAAGCGACACAAGAACTGTTTATGTCTGAATGTATACCTGACCAAGCTGCGCCCTTCGCACCTAAAATGGAAGAGGAAGCTTCCATGCCAGCACTATCCAAGCAAGATGATGAAAATGAAGTTTCGACACGAGCTGAACTCAGCAACGCCGAAGTGCAGGAGGCGCTTACACCAGCTGCACCTATCCTGAACGCGATCATACATGAGGATCTCGTGGAGGAGACATTCGAGCAATCTATGACTACAGAACATGTGCAAGTTGTGAGCAGCGAAGTTATAGCAGAGCAAGAGGTTCTATTGCAAGCTGCTTCTAGTCCAGATGTCCCCCTACCACAACCTCCTATGCAATCTGTTTCAGATCAGCTACCATTGACAACGGAGGCATCTGTGCAAGCTGACACGCTTCCAAAGCCAGCATTTAAAAATTCTACTCCGAGTGCACCCCCGCAAAGTGTGTCCGAGCCAGCATTCTCCATCGACGCCTCATGCCAACAACTTCTTGGAGTAGGGGTTCCCAACCCACTTCAGCCAAACGGTGATATGCCAGCGAATCTCAATGGGCAAATCGCACCTTCCAGTGGTGGAGCTTTGAGTCAAGATACTCTTGTGCCAGATGCGTTCTGTCAACCCATTCCCCAAGATGTACTCGAACCAAATACCCAAGATCAGGGTTTGCTTGGCCAAGAGCTTTCAAATCAGGACCAACTCACGAATATTGGCCATCCAAATTCCACAAACCTTGCTCCAAGCGCAGATGGTGCAAAGCCAGATCTTCCCAGCGATACCGCGAATACTGAAGCTCTAGCTGGGGATGTGTCTGGTGCGCAAGTCCATTCTCATGACGCTCTCGACCAAGAGGTGCCAACAACCCAGATGAATAGTCGTAGGTTCACCTATGCAAAATTGCTTCATGTGTGGTTGCAAGCTTATGTGGTCGCTACAGCAATGTCTGACTTGCTCTTGTGTTCAAGCTTGGGTCATACTAACCTATGTGCTTGTAGTGAGCTAACAACTCACCTGGTAGCAGAAATTTTGTTGGGTTGGTAATAATGTATCCAGTGTTTATAACGAACGATGAAGTTTGCGCTAAATCAGCAACATACAGTCTAAGTCAATCATGTTGATCACTTTTCATCAAGGCAAACGCATCGCTAAAGTGGTCTTAACGATTGGAGATTGTTATGTCGCCTTGTGGATGCGTACTCTCATCGGAAAAGAAACTTTCAGTTTATAGACTTTATACTGCCGAGTGCTCGTTTCTTAACTGATGTGTGCAAGTGCACAATTTCTACGATGTTGGAACACAGCTTTTTCGCACCAAGATACATGAAGTAATTACCTACATTTATGCACATATGGTTGTGCTCGAGTAAATAAAAACAAGATCTAGGACTCATTATGGCTGACTTTATCCCAAAATTGTGCATTTACACACGTTAGCAAAACAGCACCCTGCTTAACTATACAGTCTAACGTGACCAATAACCAGGGGACTCGAAAACAGTAGGCATGCTTCATTTCCAAAAGACAACACTCATCAAATATCCGATAGGTATAATATTCTGAAAGAGCGCAAAACTTATCCGTCGACAAAGATATTTCAAATTAATAGCAGGGTCAAAATGAAATGTATCAAAGTTATCGGTCGTATAAATGTTGTCTAAAGAATACTGAGTATTTTTCTTATCTACTTGTAAAAATCTAGTAGAAATAGCTGTGAACACAGAAGATGTAAGTTTTATGAAAAGGCTTATGCTTAAATATCACTTGTATCGTGGCGTCAGTTCTACGTGGCATTCTTGCAAGAATTGCTTCTCACTATCACTGTAGTGCGCTTCGCTTCTTATTGATGTTCAGCTTTGAAGGCATTGTATAGGTAGATCGTTCTTGAGTTTTTCGCCATCGAACTTCATAGACGTGCCGAAACCGTAAATGGGCTCTCAAGCTTGCAAAAATGTCAAGCTGTTGCAAGGGGCGGGGTTTGTATCTCGGCCATCTGGGCTGAGATTGGCTAATTAGATTCCCCAGCCAATCGCTGTGACCGACCATTCCTGCCCACTCTAGTTTTTGCTGCTATAAGGCAACAGTCTGACCTTGTTGCGAGCTCTGGGCTCAGTTTCTGTTTCAGTATGCAGGGCGCCCAAAAATGACGAAAAACTCAAAGTTGAGGATCTGCCTGAACAGTGCCCGTGAAAATATCACTGTTCCTGTCGAGTTTTAGGTGTCGGCCAATCTCCGATGTCACCAGAATTTCCTGTATTCACACGTCCATCATCAGAGGATGCAGAAAACGCAGAACCTATGCCTCGTGGCGACAGCGCAGTCATCAGAAGTGTGCCTTCAAGTTCTCATCTAGTTGATGCTAATCGCCAAACACCACACGCCGTTGCCGCGATGCCATCTACACCCTTGAGAAGTACGCCATTCCTTTCAAGTTTGTATTTACTCTAGTTTGGTGTTTTAGCAGGAAGTTCGGGCGTAATGCCTCCAGCTACAGTGATAAGTTTATCGAATGGAGCTCCTGTTCTGCTTGTGATAGGTGAACATTGTTTGCTTCTCTCTTCGCCATAAGAAACTTCTAGTTTTTGTAAACTCGCATTTACAGGTGCTCCTGGTTCCCAAACTTTCGAGATAGCAAATCGTTTGGCGCAGCAGCACGAAGGATTCCTCTTCCTCTCTATGGGAGTGCTGCTAAGGGATAAAGTGAAAGCAGAGAAGGAAGATGAACTGTGGCAGAGGGTTGGCCGAAAGATAGAAAAAGGCGAACCAGTGCCGATGGTGGGTATCTTGCGCAGTTCTCTGCATATTTTTCACTTCTGCACCTAAATTACCGAAAATCTCGCTACCAGGGGCAGTATTTATCAATCTCCTATATGGGAAGAGGTTCCTGTAAAGGTCCACCCATATTAGATGCGACCGACGCCCGCGATACACGAAGTCAAGCTGGTGCTCCTGTTTGTTTGAATGGTCCGATCCAGCAAGTTTGACCATGTCGGGTACGGCAAGTGTCCCGACAGGTCAGACCCTGCTGCCCGTTTGGGCCACGCCCCCAAACTTTCATGAATTATGGGAAGGCGCTTTCGCCTGTCTGAGCACTCGTTGATACTGGCCCGAACGGCGAGTGGGAGATTGATAAATACCGCTCTAGAAACTCTACTTGAGTAAGAGTATAGTGCCCATAGAATTACAGTCTGTTTGAGCGTAGTGCACCTTACCAACTTCAGCGGGGGGGGGGTGTAACTCAGGACCAAATCGGCCTCTTCGATCGAGGGAGCAGCAAGGCCCTCGCGCTGCGGACGCGTAGTCTCGCACAAAAAACTTTGCAATCAAGACAGACTGTACGGTTTCGGAAGCAAAAAACATCAATAGCAGAAGTAGGCGAGATAGAGGAGATTAAAAAGAGGAGTAAACTCCGCACAATGAATTTTTTTGTGCATAGCAGGTAAATCTCGTTTCAGAAACTTTGTCGGGAGTTGCTTTACGATAGGATCAATGGAAATGGAGCAACAACTCATGGCTTGATAATAGAAGGATATCCAAGAACAGAAGCTCAACTAGCTGACATTCAAGCAGTTGTAAGTACGAGAATTCAATTCTCGTCAAAATTTGTGGAAAATGTCTAAAGAAATTGGGTTTGGTTTTTTGTAGTTAGGTAGACTCGATCTTGCAATACTTGTGGATTGTACGGAGCAGTTCTGCATTGACAACATTGCGAAGAAGTTCCAAGGAAACGGAAATATGGTAGAAGACTCGCCGGAAGTTGTAAAGACCAGAATGGCTCTTTTCAAGCAGAACACGTTACCGATGCTGAAGTCTTTGGACGAAAAAGGCATTTTACGTGTGGTTGGTTTTCATCACCATGAGTTTTATTTGACATTTTTTTTTCAAAACTTTTGTTTTGCGGGGTGCTTGTATCATTTACAGGACCTACCGCCAATATAAAAACTTTTGCCTTTTTGAAATCGCCGACAAATGCGGCAGAATAATGATAAACAAGCATTCAAATTGTATCCGATGCATTGGTTCCCCTTTCCAGCTGCGCGATTCTTTCAGAGATTGTTGAGGTAATCCCTGGATTACAACTATTCGTTTTCACAGTGTCCAACTTTCTTCTAACTTTCAAAACTTTTATTTGAGACTTTTGGGGAAGACTCAATAGTCAGCAGGTAGGGCAAACATTTTCCCAAATAAGGCGGTTTTTCTTCTTTTTGAGCTACTCTTTCAGAATTTTGCTAAATAATTTTTTAAAAGTATGAAGTTTCGAAAAAAAAACGCATAATCTGTTACTGTACCAAACACTGCAAAATCTTCAAAGTATTTTTGAGCAATTCGATATTACTATCGATAACTTTCAAACTAAATGCACGATTTTCGCTTCAAACTATGAAGATTGTGAAACTTAAAGTACATCAGTGCACATTCTTGTTGAGAAATATTGCAATTTTCCCCTGCGGAATTCTCGTGTCTCGCCGGAAGAAAACGACTGTTGAGAAGAGGAGAAAAAGTTGCACCGAATGCTATCTGAACTGTTATTTTCACATTTTACGAGGTTAGAATAGGCCGAACATAGAACTTGCTTACTTCCATAATTGAATTTTGGAATTCTGAAAGACAAGCCATAGAAGCACAATGCTTTAGTTGACAACACTTCTGCCCAATCTTTGGCTATCAAAGCTGCTTCAAGCCTCAGCTATAATTTCTTGAAGTTACGAAAGTCAGTCATGGTGAGAACGAAGGGTTGTAGTTTTCAGCGATTATCTCAGCACTTTCTCAAGGATTACAATGGGAATACAGCAGCTGGAAAGAGAAGAAATCATGTATCGTATACAGTTTGAAGTGTTTGTTATCTTCATTCTACCGCATTTGCCGGTGATTCAAAAAGTGACACTTTATGGCATTCACATCATGGAGAAATACCAACTGTATTACTATCACTTTATATTTATTTTATCGTATCCGAAAACAATTTGACCTTTGCTGCAGATTTACCTATGTCAAATCCGGCTGACTACGAAACATAATCTCCTCTTCGGCCCTCTTCTACAAGAAAAGGGCATTTGTTAAAAGGGGCGTTTCTATACAAAATGTATATTATCTTATGGCTTGAGACGCTGTCCACCGCTTTTGATATCCACAAAGCGCTTCTGCGAGGGAGTTGAGGAAATTTTGATGCAAAAATTTGAGTGCAGTTACAGTTAAATCATTCAGAACTTCACTCCGTGAGCTCAAATGGGGCCATGACTACCGCTAGGGCGTTTTATGCAATAACTACCTTCAGCCTAAAGCTCATGCCAGTCATTACCTTTTATGCAATAACTACCTTCAGCCTAAAGCTCATGCCAGTCATTACTTTTTTCAAGCGCCAAAAGGCCTCAACATCTGTTTTTATCTTATCGTTAGCCAAATCACCGAATTTTTACCTTAAAAAATCCCAGAATCAGCGTTCCATGCTCTTTAAGATAGTATACATTTCATATGCAAACGTCACTTCGATCAAACATCCTTCAGTTGTCAGTGTGGTAATTGCTCTATATGATAACTACAAAGGATCTTGCTTCAGATTGAAGGAGACTCAGATGTGGAAAGCGTTTACAGTGAGGTTTCAACGGCACTCGATCGTGAAATCTTCAATAGCAATGGCAAAGGTGAGAACAATATAGTTCCACAATAGATTATTACGCCAACCGTCAGCCACTTGATTATAAATTTGCTGCAAACGTAGCTGATTTTACAAGGCATTTTCTTTTATTAATTGGTATCCTAATATTAAAAGAGTACAATATATAGCTATGATAATTTTAGATGCGATTATTTCAGTGGAAGAAGTTGCGTAGGAGACAATGTGCATCATCAGTGTGATTCAAGGGCAGTTCTCGTATTTGGCGAGATTATGTTCGAATGAAAGATTTTATACATGAGTTTGCACACCTTGTTATTACAAATAGTGTTCGTTTCGCAGGAAGAGTAGGGAAGGGCACATGAGACCCTCACTAGCCTCGTTTTAGTCTATAGCTCACATGAAGCAAAGCTGAATTACGAATGCCTTAGAAATTGCTACAAACGCTTATACGTTAGGCCTCGGGCACGCGATTTCAGCCGCGACGCGATTTGGCAATACTTTAACTGTTTATAACCCATCGTAAGCATTTCATAAATGAAAAGAAGATGGCTCATTTTGTCGATCTGCGGAAGTTATACATATTGTGCATTTTCAGTCGGCAAGCGTTTGATTTGGAGAGATCTGGCAGATTGCCAGATCGCGTGGCGAGTGAAATCGCGTGAGGTATGCTCAGGGATGTGGTCATGGATGTGCTGCTCAGCTGCTTTCTTAGTCATGGATGTGCTGCTGTAGAAATAGACAAAGCGCAGGAGCTTGCAAAGTCTTCCTTACGTCAGCTGCCAAGTTCTTTAGAATGTCAAAGACGAGTTTTGGAAAAAAACTTAACTGATTAGTAGGGGGTATCTAAAGACTATAATAAATTTTCTCGGTACCCCGTTTTGGTGGTCTTTTTTGAAGATCAAACTCGGCACATTCTTTCACGAGGGAAATTTATTGGAATTCTATCGAGGCTAGCAATATTGCGTCAAAACACTATTAGGAAGTTGAATTTCATGATTGAAATTGAGTCTATGGGATGAGACAGAGACCTTGAAGTTAGAAATTTGAGTGGACGGTGAAAGATAGCGTCCCAAAGCAAGTCGGCATCCTATGATTTTTGTCTGAGCTTCTGTCGCGCTGAACCCGTGTACGGGTTTGCAGAAAATGGTTGAAAACAGGTCGTTTTTGCACTCTTCAATAGAAGTTGGGGTGAGACTGCTTGAAACAGAGAGTACGGCATCACGATGAAAGTCTGAAGAAAAGCTTTCGAAGCGCTTTTTCTTGCTTTTCTCATGCTTTCGCGCTTGAATATTGACTTTGTTAGGGACCTATAGCGTATAGCATGGGAAAATCTGGTTTCTTGCTACCGGAAGCTGCCTTTGAAGTAAAACAAATCTGATTTTTCAGTGAATGTAACACCACCTGTTTAGATTTTTGTTTCAAGCTTTATGGGCGACACTTTGAAAATCAGACGTCTACAGTTTCAGATATCCGCACTTCATATCGTTATAGCAATTGTTTGCCTAATAACGTCAATGATGTGCATGTACTATTGTGTACATTGATTTCAGAAACCTTATGAGCTTCTGAGCTTGAGGAGAAGTATCGATGATAATCGTTACAACTAATCCAGTAACAATTGTCAGCGGATGCTGTGTAAACTGTCTACCCAAAAGTACTCAGTCAACTAAAGAATTGATAAAATTGAGCGTCAAATTCCTTTTATTTTTTGATCTGCTGCGTCTTTTTCAAGGCGAAAGAACTAAGAAAACGGTAAAATTGGCTTCGAATGACTTACTTTCAACGAATTTGCACTTGATAGTCAGGCTCGAAAGCTAATGGCGAATCAGTGATTTGACACAAACCTGGTAGCAGCTGCGAATTAGAGCTGCCGTCGATTTTATGTGACCACACAAGTAGTGAGCAAAAGACTAGCGATTCTCTCACTTGGAGCGAAACCTGTGGGAACACGAACACATTTCAAATGCTGGGAAACATAAGTCTTCCATTCTTATAGGTCCTTCGGACCAAATATATGTTACAACATAATACAGGGTGTCCCAAAAAGATGTGCACACTGTTTGAACGTTAATAACTCTCTTGCTTTCATGTCTTTTGCAGAGCTTGAGGTGCCATTCTGTAGAGCGAGGTTTAACTTAGATTTGCTGTATGGAGCGAATGATCGATCGCTTTTCAACACTGTAGGGTTACGGTAGGAACTTCGAGGAGAATTTTAAGCCATTGAAAGCGGTATTTTGCCTCAGAAAGAAAGCCAAATAAGCCAAAAACTCGTGAAGTGGGACAATCGAAGTCGCTGATATTAAATATAAAATTTACACTCCAATATAATGCTTCATTCATAAGTTATTTCGGATTTAAGGTAAAAACTGTTTTCCCAAAGTTGGTCAAAAATGTGGATACGCCATCAAGAAAGCTCGAAAAAATCATGAAAAGTTATGTATTGAAATGAGCACGCCTGAAAACCTTGCCACACAAAATTTCAGATTTTTTTGAAATTATTTCATCAAATGGCCTACTCCACAGCAAAGCTGTAGGCTGAAAGTTCATACCGTAATCCTACAGTAACGAAGAATGATTGTTATCCAATCCCTACTGTAAATTTAAGTTGAACCTCGCTCTACAGAATGGTACCTTAAGCTCGGTAAAAGACATGAAAGAAAGAGAGTTATTAACGATCAAACAGTGTGCACATCTTTTTGGGACACTCTGTATATAGAGAGCGTGTTTGTCGGATTGTTCGTTTCATTATGATAAGGGCAGTATTTTGTACAGAATCGACACATTCACGACTAGAAATTACAATTTTTGCTAATTCGCACCGAAGCCTTTTTCACTGTTTCAAGCGTATGACCCATCAATTGGTCCTAGTGAACAGAGTGCAGCTATTTCTGACTAATGATCATAGTTGTGCTTTCTGGTTCCTGGTATTCGCCACAAATACCTCCAAATATTTTTGGTGATGTTTTTACTGGAAACAATCGCTTTGTTCCAAATCACTACTCTACTTTTTCTAACAAATCTAGGGTGAAGAAAACTCAAGATTAATGTTAAGTGGGCAAAGCAAGTACGCTATTTACACTATAACCTGCTAGAACTAGAACTCTGCGTTTGAAAATCTGATAAAGTGATACTGTCTGGACCTTCCCTGCCCATGTCAGTGTCAAATGAGGTGCAATAGAGACGGCACTGGTTCACTCAGACCTTCAGCGGTCTAAGTGGTCTCCATCACACGTCGGACAGGGCTACTTCCGTATTAGTGATGTTTATCGGCTTTTTAGTAGCATATGTCTGCTAATATTGGTGAAGCCGTACCTTTCAGTCTCAGTCTGGCCTCCCTTGTGGGCTTCGCCTGCGATTTCTGTATGTCATTGTCTTAAAGCCTTCATCCTTTCTCTTGTTTCGTGAGATTTGTAGGAAGTGTACAATTTTACATCGGCCTAACCACTGGAAATTATATCGTAACCTGACGATTTTTTCTTTTTATGAAGGTTGCTATGTTCAAATGTTCTCCGACCAACTTTTTCTACAGCTCTTTCTTCAACGCTTCAAGTAATTCAAACACTTCGCAGAGAAAGTAAACTGAAAAAATAAAAGTCAAATCAGGAATGAGTCTTTAGCTTAAATGTTTCAAATACAGAGCCAAAACATTCGCTTTGCGTAATGACGATTTGCAGAAGATGTAGATAGTTGGAAGCGGATGCTGTGTGGACTGTCAACTGTCCCTCCACTCTGTACACTAACCTTGGGTTGAAAAAAACAAGTTGTGATCAATTGAAGTAAATGCAAAATTGAGCATCAACTTTCCTTTTTTTTTTGATCTGCTGCGTCTTATTTAAGGCGACTAGAAACTAAAAAACTCAAACTCTTACATATTTGCGAATTAGCAAATCTTACATTCTTTTACTCGGGAACCTTAGCATTGAAGAGTATCATGGAATTAAAAAGAAGATCTACACCCCAGGATGTCTATTTAACCGAGTAACTATGATAAGGGGATACATCTAGCGATCTAATCCGGACATAGCTCATCAAAACGTCTAAATGGGAGAAATACCGGATACGCAAAGCAAATCTGTGTGTACATTGGATCTGCAATGAACATATTATCCACAAACCTTGAATGTGAAAAGAGGAATTTTTGGTTAACCGAAGGAAATGTAAAATTGAGCACGAAGTTTCTTGATAGTTGATGTGCTGCGTCTTCTCTATAGCGAAACTGAGGCTAGAGTCTCTGCAAACCGTACGTTTTTTCTACTTGGAATGCCATGAATTAGGCAGATGTGATTGTAGCCGAATCTGTGGCACAAGTATATCGTCTTGTAATTTGCTATCAGCTCGTAGGTATGATAACTTGTATCAGAGTTCAGGAGGAGACTTTATGAATTGTGACACCAATGGAACGTCCCATTTTTTCGGTCTTTTTCGGTGTTTTGACGAACGTCCTCTTCAAGTCCTCGTGCTTTCAATTTCTTGAAAGCAATTATGAATGCCATCCCTCACGAAATCCGCTCTTTGGTTCATGGTTGTTGATAGTCGACACTCAGAAAGCCTTTGCCAACTTCTCTTTCTCTCTCCTACTAACCTCATTATCACGGCTATCGAAGTCGCATCGCAAATGCGGCCACATTACCAGACGTATATGTATTTAGACTCAGTGCTAATTGATAGCAATCGTGCTCGCCCCGTTTGCATTCGTTGTGTTCGACACCTCGGTGCTTAGCCACTCGTGGCTAATCTGTGTTCTTTGATGAAGGCCTTGTTCACTTGCAAAACTTTCAGGAAAATTAGCTCTCTTAAAATTTCGCCGTCAGCTGATTCTCTTCTCCCACTTTTTCCTCAGCTGTAATTCTTCGATTGCCCACTTGGGAAATGGCAGACAGACAATTAACTAATAGAACTTCTCCCCCATAATGCGACAAATTTGCTTGAGCTTGCTTGTGTGTACGGTCTGATTACGGTCTCACGCCTTTCGCCACTTCCTTCAGTATGCTGTTCCTGAATTACTTCTATTTCATAACGCTTCCGCATTCTCTTTAACGCTTGCAAACCTTGCCATAATCAAATTATTTTCTTTGCGAAGCCCCTTCATCAAACGTTAGAGAGCTTGCTAATCTAGTAATCTTACAAGTGCAGCTTTGTCGCTCAAGGATACTTGAGTCACACTTACCACATCTGTGGCAGCGAGGAATCAAATGAAATGGTGAATCATCAATTTTTTGTTTGAGCCTTCACTGTGATCTGTAGCGAA